AGTTTCAGAAAAAAATTGGGCAAAAAGAAATCCACTTTGCTCAAACTCAAATTCACTGCCTGGCTTTTCCTGTCTTGCAATGTCAAAAGTGGTTCCAGAAGAAGCTTTTCCATGACATCACTCTGCCTCATGAGAGCGTCGACATTTTTGCCTTCCTTTTGTAACTTTCCCTTGGTTCTCTGTTGCTTCTTTCATTTTTCCCTCCCCCCCTCACAAAAGTAAATTCATTAAGGAAAAAAAAAGGACGGAATAGCTACACATCGCTTTCCGGCTCCTAACATAACGAACCATCTGTTTGGAAATACCCTCCAATGTCAGAGTTGAAGAAAGGCCTTGGAATCCTGTTGGTAGTCAAGACAACACTCAGCTAGATGGACCAACAGGCTGAATCAGTGTAGCTACATAAGAAGTTTAATATTTATTTGGACGTCAACAAGAAATGTGAGTCACTTCTGCTATTCAGATGTGAAAAATTATGTCTCCTTCCCATCCCAATTAGTTACTTGAGGAGAATAACCCTACAAGTTGGGATGAGTTGTCTCTCATCCATGAGGATGCACTTTACCTCAGAACTGATATTAATTGATTTAGGAGGGAAAATCATTATAAATCACTGCTAGTTAAAGACACAAATATGTCTATAGTTATGTTAAGGCAGAGCGTACTGAAATTCCTGCAAACAGAACATCAAAAGATATGAAATCCCTTCATGCGGTATATGATATTCCAAACAGACGAGCATGCACTGAATTTCTTTCCCACTGTTTTGTCTGTCCATTCAGTTTGTGCTAGAACAGGATTTTCAGAAACTTTATGAGACTCTACAGAAATCATATATGGGGCAGGGGGCACCTGATAATTCCAATGACATAAGCAAATGTTCCCTCCCACCCCTCCCTCATACAGACATAAAAATACTCTCAGTATTTCAAGACCAGCCTGGCAGCATTTCATTTTTGTCCCAAACTAAATTAGCCATTAGGGATGATAGTACATCACATGTAGCACAGCCCCCAGGACCAGAACTCTTGGCCAGCTTATTAGAGATGAGGTCACCCCTTCTTCTTATTCCCAAAGGGAGCATTTTGCCAAGCCCTGGAAGGTTACTCTTATCTTTGAGGGCTATTTTTAATTTCACAAAACTAATGGGGGGGAAAGGGTAGGGCTCAACAGTCCCAATGAATCTTCGTTGTGAACAATTTCTTCAAAAGACGTACATATTTATACCACCCCAAGGAATACAAAGTCCTTTCTCTAGTTGTCTTATGACTATCAATCATTTTGGCCTGTGATATGATGCTACCCTAACTTTTTGTTTTCTTGCAATCCGATCAGAATAATCAGTTTGTGATTTAGTGAAATCTTAAGATAATTAATGACTAGGTAGATTTGTCTACATTGATATGTACATCAGTACTGTAATACTGTCTACAGGACCAAGCCACAAAATTACCAATTATTAATCCTGAAAACAGATTCTGGCACATGATTTTGAACTAGAGATTAACAGATTCAAAACTGTACCTACTGAACATATTACTTCTGCTATCCATTTCTTGTAAAATGTGGCAAGTTACGACTGGCCATTGCTCCATTTCAGTCTACTACAAAAGAACATAAGAAGAGCCGTGCTGGATCAGGCCAAGGGCCCATCTAATCCAGCTTCCTGTATCTCACGGTGGCCCCACCAGATACTAGAGTTCAGGGTATATTATGTGTCTGTAAGACTGGCATCTATACCGTATATGAATTCAGAGAACTGGATTCATTTCTAGTCGATAGCTCATTTTATAGCACTCTGTTAAGAAGAGTTTTTTTAAAATCGTCATTAGTAACTAAAAAAACATAATTAACATCTAGAAGCCTTTTAAGTGTGAAACAAAATTGCAAGGGAAGTAGCCAATAAGAGGGTTATATAACTATTATTGTCAAGCTTGGGATTTAGTGAAACTCAAGAGAAAAGAAGCTTGATAGTGGGAGAGTAGCTTTTTAACACACTCTTTAAAGAGGTTTCTATTTACCTTAATGCTTGTTCTAGGATGCTGCTCAGGGATGTTTCTAAGTAAGCAGATTTATCTAGGGGCAAAAGGCAGCACTTCAAGGAATAATGTTAAAGCAGAGCCCCCAAGAGAATATGCTCAGTGTGCTCCTGATGTCACACGAGATGAGCTACTACATTCTTCACCCCCTGCTAGAGATTAGGGTATTCGTATTTGTATAGTAATATGAATACCTCCACACAGGTGGTGATAACGAGTGTCCAACCCCATTGAGGCCAGATGGTCCAGTCACAATTTCACTGCTGCCACAAGCTCCAGGATCCTTCCTATCACTCTAGAGCTCTCAATTGGCTCGCCACTCCTGGGAGGAGATGGGACAACAAGCTTCCCTGCCAGGTTGAAGAGTGGCAAGCCAATCACAAGCTCTGGAATGATAGGAAGGATCCCAGAGCTTGCAGCAGTGGCAGAATTGTGAGTGGTCCACCCAGCCCCATGGGGCTCGACCCTCGTTATTGCCACCTGTGCAGGGGTATTCGTATACCCCCTACAGATATTAAACAGCCTTCAAGGAAAATCTTTTCAGCGTTGCCATTAAACTCTACAGTTGTACTTCAACTTTCCTGGCAGCCTTTAGTTACACACTGAGTAGTAGCACGAAGGACCACAGATCGGTGGTAGAACTTTGCATGCAGAATGTCAAAGGTTCAAGTCCTTGAAAGTCCAGGGAAGGCTATGGTAGCACCTTGCCTGTCACTGTTAGATGGACCAATGATCATTGTATGAAGGTTTCTTAACTTCCTAACAATCTTGGATCATGTGGATATATATACAGCAAACATCTTCAAGGGAAGGGGAAGAAGTTATGAGAAATTGATTAAATCTATCAATCGATTAGAGAAACGTTATGGTTTTCTTCCCTTTGCCTTTTCAAATCCAGAAAAATGTCTCTAGAAGGTTTCCAAGCTAGTGTGGAGGGGCTTACAGTGGGGTGTGCTGGGAAGGGAGATCAGTTCTTTCCCAGTTCTGCTAGACCCTGCTATTAACCCTACCTAATTATTGAAACACCCTCGTGGACCATCTGGAAAGGAATGGGTGAAATAATTTCTATATCTTTCAAGTCCCAAATATATACTATCTATCTATCTATCTATCTATCTATCTATCTATCTATCTATCTATCTATCTATCTATCTATCTATAATTAAAAGCTTTACATTTGTATAACAACTTTTAGGTTCAAAATCTATGTGACATCCATACAGTCATGACCATGACAATCTCAGTCTTCAAGATGATATTGTAACATAGGTATTACTATTAGCATAGGAGGGGAATGAAGTTAATTAACTGTGACTTGTCTGAGGCCACCTAAGTCCACAGTAAGGGCAAGATATTGGGAACTTCCTCATATATTTTATCATTTTTATTCTGCTTTTCTTGCTTCAACAAGACACTAAAGGTGCCTCATAACTTATTCATAAGCAAGTAATGAAACCAAATATAAAACAAACATTAAAAGAAAAAAATACAAGCAAATCAGCAAGTAATACAAACCAAAAGCAAAAGAGTTAACCAGGTGCTAAATCTACATGGGAGACACCTACTAGAACACAAAGGGCTTTCAGCCTTGAATGGACCACCACTAAGAAAGGAGCCAAACAGAGGCAAAGCATTACAAAATTCAAGATAATATGACATCTCAGGATCCCACCCAACAGCCTCACATACTGGCAGAATATAAAGCAGTCCTCTCTGATGAGCTCAGGGAATAGGCAGAGTCATATGGTAGCAGATGGTCCCTCCAGTATCCTGGTCCTATGCCATTTAGGACGTCAAAGACAGCCCTTTGAGTTGAAACCAGAAGCAAACTGGCAACCTCAGAAGATCATGTTATAAAGTAATCACCATGTTATTACTGAAAAGCTTGCAGCGCAGTTCTGCACCAGCATGCTAAACACTCTTCAATGACACTCCCAAGAGAAGTGTAGAGTTACAGTAATCTGACGTCTCAGACAGATCTTCCTTTATCAGAAAAAGGCATAATTATTTCACCAGGCTCAGTTATGAAAATAAAATCTGTCCTCCTTGGACATTTAGGATCTGGATCTGCATCCAGAAACACGTCCAAGCTGTGTTCGAGATTCTTCAAAGGGAGTGCAATCTATCTATCCAAAAGCTACTACCCCTATTTTTTTGGACAGGAGGGTCTACCAATTGAAAGCACTTCTTCCTTGGGTGAAGTTTCCTTTTGTTTACATTGTAGCTCATTTTTCAACCATCATTAACTTAGCAAAGCTTAGCCAACACTTTCTATTTAATCCAGAGCAGCATTCACCTGAAATTTCAAGGTGACATCCCCCACCCCATTCAGCCACAAACTGCTTCTTTCTTTTACAGAAGACTGCTGTAGGGAAATAACAGCCTTTGTTACAGAATTACAGCTCTACAGTTTTTTCATCATAGGAGAAAGCTAAGTGAAGTTTATTCTGTGCCCTTGTAACTACATTGTGATCTCTTAATGCCTTACGTTCTTTTATGCAATTCTTATTCTACTTTTTGGGCACCAAGCCCAAATTTGCTTAATTTTATCTGGAGATTGCAGTTTTCCAGACACTGTAGCCAGATTGATGGCCATTTTAAAAGTTAATAAAAGATAAAATGAAAGCTGTCTCCTGACTACCAGCAATAACCAGCACTTTAAAGGTCTTGCCCTTTTTTATTTTTATAAAGATTCCCCCCATTACAGCTAATCAGTAGCAAGCTACATCAAGCTTTTGAAGTTTCTTAATATTAGCTATAATAGTTATTACAATATTAAGTTAAATAATTCATGAGGTTCTTCTATTAGTGTCACAATATTCTCACATATGCAAGAAGGATACATCTTCTATTGTACTTTAGATCTCTTATATATACTTTAGACCTCTTATATGAAGTTTATGGCAGAGTTTTTCACCTCTCTCAAAATTAATTTTCATGACAAAAAGTAGCAAGACTTACCGTATATTCTGATCCAAGTTTGTCCAATGGGGAGAGGGAATTAAAAAAAAAGGAAAAGAAGGGTATTATTATTTTTGGTTCATATTGCTTTAATGAAACTAGAAACATACGCTAATCATTGCGCTGACTCATAATAACCATGCAATACTTGTTCACCATTTGGAATGGAACACAATGGTCATTGTTTGTAATTGTTTCATAGCTGGTGGGAGGTGAAAATTAGAGAAGAGGCTACTGAGCCATCAGAGCTGCCAACATTCCTATGTAATCGTGGTCTTCTGTCCTGCCCTTTTATTTATTTATTTATTGGACTTATATACCGCCCCATAGCGCTACAAGCACTCTCCGGGCGGTTTACAATTTTAATTATAAAGGCTACAACAAAGGGTTGTTGAGCCTACGGCGTTGGATCTCAGGGGAAAGAAATGTCACCCATGGGCCACCCAGAAATGGCTTGGACTACTTTATCACTGGGAGAGGACACAAACTTTGGATTTTGATAAAGAACACATGAACATGTGTGCACCTTCTTTCCGAAGGATGGGCAACGTGACTGGGGATGTCAGAAGACAGGCTTATTTTTATTTTGGCTTAAATGTTTGTATCCCAATTTTTTCTTGGTCCATCCAAATTTAACTTATGGTTTTGTACCTAAGCAGGACTTCAAAGATAAGTCAAATAAAGTTTATTTGTCTGTTCAGACAGGAGCTGAACAGAGCAGATACACTGAAAGCATACAGATATGCTATGTCAAGCCTGGTCCTTACGGTATAACCTAAAGTAGGTCAGGCATCCTCCTAGTGGGGTGAAGCCATTACTCTCCATCTGCATTTAACTACTTAAATTACATTTTCGTGCGGTCATTTCTTTAGTTGTGTAAATTAAAATCTGACAATGCATGCATTTTTCTGCAACACTGCAATACTGTTTCCATTAAAGGCATACAAACTGGTGTTCTTGGACAACGGCTTCCAGAATTCCTACAATTTCTGGATCTCCCCCAGCCCAGTGCAATTTTAAAAGGGTTATTATACTAACACACAGACTGGATGATATGAGTAGAACATGAAATAATTTTTGGAAGTGGTTGGATTAAGAGGCAAAGGATTCACATTACCCCCCCCCTGCTCTTTTTCATGTACAGTGAATCGATTGCTAGAAGTGAGAAAAGCCACTCAGAAACAGTGCGCTAAGCTGTGCTTCCTCAGCCCATCTCTTTTGTCCTTTGGGAAGTAATGGGCAGGATCTCAAGGCAACAGTTGTGGAAACCAAGCTGCCCTTGACTCAGAAACCGTTTGTAGAAGCGAAGGGCAGAATGGCCTCTTGCCTCTCCCTCTTATTCTCTCCTCATTTTTTGTAGCTGCTTTGGCAACCAGTAAAGGTGGCAGACCCTGATGTTGGGAAAGAGTGGAAGCAAAAGGAGAAGGGGACGACAGAGGACGAGATGGATGGACAGTGCCATCGAAGCAACCAACATGACTTTGACACCACTCCAGGAGGCAGGAGAAGACAGGTGGGGCTTGCCTACTGTGGTCCATATTGCACCCAAGGCCTGAAATACAAGCTCATCAGTGTGTTGGGCACAGACTCACAACTTCAGGATTTACATCAGCCTAGTGTTTCAGGCAATAATACTCATGTAATTAAGAAAAAAGCAGACCCACAAAGCTAGATTAGTTCCTAGAACGATCTACTATCAGCCAGATGTAGAAGAGAAAGTGAGACAATACCACTTGTGGTCACCTATAGATCCCAGCTAAAATGTCTCCAAAATATAATCTAGGGTCTAATCTAGATGTAAATCATGCCCGCATTCTAATTGAATTAGGTTGTTTCAACACAAGGAACCTCAACAAGGAATATCCGTGCCCTGCAAGATTCCTTGCCTCCAAAGTGATGGCAAGACAACAAGCAATTTTGAAAATGATCAGTGGACACATTTTTGACATTACATTTGACTTCAGCTTGTAACTGTTGAATTGGAACCCATCATGAAGTTCAGCTGTATTCACGGTGGTCCAAATGGAGACAATGGTCTTCTGGCCCACAGCAGATGTCAAGTAATTCAACAATCCATTACTGATTATGTGATCACCTATCATTGTGCAGAATCTGTGTTCATGTTTTGTATATATCCATGCCTTGATTGAATTGGCAATGTCTTCTTTGGCATTTCATTTCCCCTTGCTCCCACTGCATGTAATGTCACATCTCATCTCATCATGTGACTTCAGTTGCAACTGCAGCTAACACGGCATGCATCTGATGCAGGGGACTCCAATCAATAGAAAGGCCTGTTAATTAGCCTTTATGATAAAACAGCAGAATTCTATTAAAACTGAAAGGACTACAAGAACATCTGAAGGGTTAAAAAAAACCAACTGACCTGTAATTGTGTATGGGTAGTAATTCCATGCCTTCTCTGTAACATAAAATATTTTGGGGACAACAGCTCTTGCCCAGCTGGGAAGTTTGCTGCAAAAAGAAACATTATGTCAGATAGGAAAGACAGAAAAACTAAATTTATCTTAACAAAGAAAGAAAGAAAATAACATATGATAGACATTCGGCAGGCAGATTTTAATCACAATATTATTATGGGAAGAAATAATACTGTCGTCTGTGCAAAATATGTGAATATGACCCTGGAAATTCATGTATTGGTTGTGTGATTCTGTTTGGGCTAAAACAGGCAATGCACATTTTATACTAAGCCACAAAATGGCAGCAGTCAAGGAATAATATGCCTTTTCCTCCTTATGCCTTCATCTCCTATAATGTCTGACCTCCTCCAATTGAAAGCGATGTGTTGTGATATTCAAGAATATTCACCATGTGAAAGTTTAATAATTTATCTCAGGTAGAATACAGCCAATTGTCATATTCCATGGAGCAATAGCTGAGTGCCTCCCGGGGCTCCTGTTTTTACGGATTGCCTATGAGAGACTTACAGATTTGTGTTTTATTCATCTATGACAAGGAATTTAATTGTTGTCACAGAAGATTTTGTATCTTGCTTTATATTCATTCCATTCTTCCTTCCTGGATACCCTTCCGAATTTTGACTTCAAAGTTCAAAAAGGAATCTTTTCCTTCTTTGAAAAATTTATTTAGCAAGCAAGTAATCACATAAATAAGAGCTCAACAATGTAAAATACATATGAGTATATATTGCAAAATTCACAGTCTTCTAATTTTAGTTTCATATATGTAGATAGCATTTTTAATCTATAAAAATGTAGGAGGTACTAAAAGTATGATCTATTCAAATGGCATTGAGCTTAATCTTAGTAATCCAAAAGATACAATATTAAGACTATTTGCTTTGTAAAAAATAATAAAATATGTAAACTCTCACAGCAGTCATGTAAAATTCTCTATTCCATTACAATACATACTATTTGTAAAAACAAAGCTAAGCATGGCAAAACATAAACAATTGTAAATAAATTGTTATCACATTACATAATTTGCACCCACTCCAAGGAGAGATTCTCTCCTGTGTCTGCAGAAACAAGGTTCATGTTTGAGATGTTCCATAAACATGGTAGAAATTTTTGTTAATATATCTCTTGGTGCTATACATAGCCAAAAAAAAAATCTGTCATGGGAGTCTAGCTTTCCCGTGGGTCTGGGATGTCAACATGCCTTCACGTCTACCTAAGCAATGTCCTGAACAAGAGATCTCCTAGGCCAGACAGCCCATGTAGTAGCACCCTTCATTTGAGTAAATTGGCTGGATGGTGTAACTTACTGACATTGTATTTGAATGGTACAATACATTTTGAATGTCGATTACATGTTTTTTTTTACATTTCCCATGTTATAAAATTTTCCCTATATGAATTTCTTATTTTTCCTGCCATAAATTTTTATTAAAATACACAACTGACATAATATTATATAGTTTGTCACAGGGTTATACCTCTTAGAAAGGGAATTTACGCTGTTACAATGTTTGGATTCTAGAAGCACCATCTTTCAGAGCTTAATCAGACTTGGAAATGAAGCCCTGGTTTACCTCCTCACAACCAATCACATACAAGTGAGCCAAGTGTCTGCTGGGATAAAAGAACATTTGCATCTAATAACATGCCAACCGAAGTTTGAGTCACAGTAGGAAAATCAGATAAGTGCTCTTTCACTGAAAATAGTACTTCAAAGTCTTTGTAGCTGAAGTGATGGTATTTTTTCCACTCATACCATCTGATAGATTGTTGCAACTGTTGTTTTGTTAGAAATTATGCATTTCTGAAACAAGAATACTGAGTTTGAATGGGGAGATCCCTTACTAAACAGAACCACAGAATCGCAGAGCTATACAGCTGGAAGGGCTCCAAGGGTCATTGAGACCAACCCACTGCCAAAGCAGAAAGCCAAGCATCCCTAACAGGTTTATCTTCTCTCTGAAAACCTATAAGGTAGGACAATCCACCATCCTCTGAGGCAGTCCATACCACTGTCGGACAGTTATTACTGTCAACGAGTTCTTCCTTATGTTTAGGTAAAATATTTCTTGCAATTTGAATCCATTACTTCAAAACCTACATTGAAATTGATAACCGAGCTACATAAAACAAGCTTGCTCCACCTTCCGAATAGCAAAATATTTTAAGCTGGCTATTATATCATATTCCAGATGAGGTCTAGCCAAATTAGAACACAATGGTACTATTAGTTCCTGTGGTCTGGACAATATACTTCCATTGATGCAAATGTGTATTGGATTCTCTCTCTTTCTTGCTCTCTCTCTCTCTCTCTCTCTTTTGGCCCTTCCTCCATACCACTGTTGACTCCTGTTTTGTGGTTTTCTAAGACCCCTAAATGTTTTCACACATGCTACTGTCACCCATTTTATATTTGTCCATCTGGTTTTTCCTGCTTAAAGGTAAACTTTCACATTTTTCCCTGCTGAAACTCATTCTGTTTGCATTGGCCCAGTTCCCCCATCTGTTAAAGTCTTGAATCCTGACTCTGTCTTTTGAACTACAGAACTAGTTATCCTTCCCTGTTTGATGTAATCTGCAGACTTATTTAGCATCACCCTCCCTGCCCTTGTCCAAATCATTCTGAGCCATGGGATGTTGAACAATACAGGGCCAGGAATGGAACCCTATGGCATTCAACTTATCACTTACCGTAAGTCCAGGGCGGCAAGAAACCACTGGCAAGTAAACAGGATGTTTTTCATGGAATGGTGGAGGAAACAAGAGAGGGTGTGTCTGTTGATCTGAGGTTGCCTATTTGTCTGAGCTGTTTGGTGGTTTGTTTGTGTGTTTGTGGCTCTTTGTATGATTGTAGCCATATGCTCTCCTAAACTGCACAGGCAGCTATGGATTAGTTGTGCCACATTAATTGGGTCAAACTGTTCTGCTTGTACTGAATAGGGAACCTTTTAGACTAAATTTAAAACTGAAACATGTCGGGGTGGGGTGCTGAAGGTACGAGAGGATGTATTTGTGATATCTTAATAGACAAAATGATGGTCTGTGTTACATCCTGATAAATAAGTGACCTCCACTTGTTTGTACCTTAATTGTCCAATTTGCTTGCTCTTCTCTACACCCATAGGCATCCTTCAATCTCGAGAGACTATGGTAACATGCTCTGAATCGAGGAGTGTCCTCTCCAGAGCATGAAGCCTGGGTAAAGTAATATGGAGGATAGGCTGTTACCCAAGCAGCAGATCCCCCCTCTCCACATTGCTGAAATGGTCCAATGGAAAGGTGAGAGCCAATACAACTGGTTCCAGCAACATCGCAGGAGCTGGCAGAACGACACAAACTGCCTTCGGGACTCCAGCTCCGGATTTTGCCTCGAGGTTAACTTCTGAAGCCTTTTCCATGAGTGGATATAGCCACAAGGCAGTGGAGGTTTGAAATTGGAGTTTTCCTTCTCCTAGATGGGCTGCTTTCCATGGCTGATGAGCCCCACCTACTCGGTTCTCTACACCCACTCCCACCATTTTACCCTAACCCAACCCTCTGTATTTAAACAACATACCAGTGTATTGGGGTCTGCAGGGGTTGCTTTCATTTCCCAATTAGCACCTACTTTCTCACAGATTGTAACTTAGAAATATGAAAGGCAGTCCCTTTCACATTTATTACAGAAGCCTGGTTTGGTGTTGACTTTGTTGTTGCATCAGAAAGGCTGCGTACAGGAAACTCGCTTTCTTGATGGCATTCATCTGCTTCTTTAATCAGTTGGTGTCTCCCAAATTAGAAGTACACAGAAGGAGGCTAAAACTGCAAATAAATACTTGATGGATCAAGACAGAGCCTTCCACGTAGCCAACTTCCTCTCTGATAAGGAAACAGCCTTGCAAAAAGCAGGCAGAAAACTTTGTTAAAGACTTTACAAGGACAGTAGTTGCAACCTATTTTACTTTATCCCCTTTCCACTGAAGACTAACTCCCACCTGTTGTACATTTTAGAACCAAATTTCATATTCCTCTCACCTATATTTATCAAAATAATGAGTTCAGCTTGGATTAGTAGAATTATTGCAATGGGATTCACTGGTCGTATTTTACAAAAACAATATCCTCATTTCTTCAGCATATATCTGAGTACTCCCAATGCAGGATTGTTCTCCTCCATTTAAGTGCACATAGTTAGGACTTTATCTGCACAGTAAACATATTTTTCCAAGCAACAATGATTTATTACAGGAGATTTTTTCATCTTCTATAAAAATGATCTTCAGGATAATTTGCTGAAGCTGTTTGTAAATATAAGAAGTCTAGTCCTATATCTTAAGGTTATGAATCTCAAAAGGAACATCACTTTCTCCATTGCTTTGCAAACATTTTGATGCTGAATAAACACTAAATAATGAATTACAATAATATTGCATCTTTATATTTTATTTGCCTCTGAGATCTAGAACTTTCGTGGCCTTCTCCCTTCTCTTACTTCTACAGTTGTTTTCTCATGTAGATGTTCAAATAACTGGCAAGGGTCCTAATTAGTGATGGGGGTATTCATATTCGTATACAAACACCCCCACACAGGTGGAGATAACAAGGGTACGGCCCTATGGTGGCGGGCGGTCCACTCACAAATCTGCTGCTGCTGCAGGCCCCACAATCCTTCCTATCACTCTGGAGCTCAAGATCGGTGAGACACTCTTTGACCTGGCAGGGAGGCTTGTCGTCCCGCCTCCTGTCAGGAGTAGTGAGCCAAGCTTGGCGGCAGACAACGTTGGCAATTATACACCCATCGCCAATGTTTCTTTCCTCAGCAAGATAGTTGAGAGGGTGGTGGCCAATCAGCTTCAGGCCCTCTTGGATGAAACCGACGCCCTGGATCCATTTCAGTTGGCCTTCAGACCGTGCCATGGCACGGAGACGGCATTGGTCGCCATGCTGGATGACCTACTTAGAGATGCCAACGGGGGCAAAATGTCCTTGTTGGTTCTCCTTGATATCTCAGCCACCTTTGATACTGTTGACCACGGTATCCTCCTGGAA